TGATATTTGGAAGAATTCGACTCCAGGATCCAAAGCTTTTTGTAGGCCAATAAGCTTTGAGTATATAAAGGAATCCAAAACAACAACGCAAGATTTGATAAATCGTATTGAAGCAGAAATTAAAAACTTGGAACCTATAACAATCGAAATAGAAAATTATTCGTTTAACATGTCCTATGATTTAAAACTTACAATGATTGATGGGAAAGTTGGAAATGCCATTACAGGAACATCATCTACTTGGTACTGCTACATATGTGGTGATAAAAAATCAGAATTTTCGAATATTTCCAAGCAAAGATCAATAAATGAGGAAACATTACAATTTGGAATATCCCCCCTACATGCTCGCATACGATTTCTGGAACATTTTCTACATTTAGCATATGATTTAAAGTACAGAAGCATACCGGAAAATGCAAACAAAAGTGCAAATAACAATAAGGAGTTAATGGAAATGAGAGCCAGTGAGAAACGAAGAGTTCAAGAGGAATTTAAAAAGCGGATGGGATTAAATATTGATAAACCACTCACAGGATATGGAAGCACAAACGATGGTAATACCGCTAGACGTTTTTTTAAACATTTTGAAACTACTTCCGAAATAACCGGAATTAGTATGGATTTACTGCAAAAGGTCAATATTATTCTAATGGCGATAAATAGCAAGCATAAAGTGAACGCAACAAAATTTGGAGAGTATTCTACAAAAGTTTCTAAATTACTTTTGGAAAGAAATGACACCTACAGTTCCCTGGAAAGAAATGACACCTACAGTTCACAAGATATTATGTCATGGAAAGGTCATCATAGAACATAATATTCTGCCTTTAGGAGAGCTTACAGAAGAACCCCAAGAATCGAGGAATAGAGACTTTAAGCATATTCATCAGTTTAGCTCAAGGAAGTGTTCTAGGCAGTCTCAAAATGAAGATATTTTTAATAATCTGATTCTATCTTCTGATCCTGTTTTATCTACTATAAGGAAACGTTGGATTTGCTACAAAACGTTAGCATTTGAAAATATTCATGAATTTAAAGATTTACTTTATCTTTTAGATATGGACTACTGTGATACCGATTATTTTACAAAATTATATTAATTTATAAAAAAAAAAATAAATAAAGACTATTTTTATATAAAATAAATACTTGTTAATTTTTTTTAGGGATAAAGAATAAAAGATTAATCGTAAAAAGTGGCTGTAAAAATTCATAAAAATTTAGGTAGTAAAACATGCCTAACAAATGTATGGATGAAAATAATAGTACTAGGTAAATTCTCTAAAAGATGTTGAGTTTTCCCTAATTAATTTGTCACTTAAAAAACATTAGGTAGGCATGTTATATATCAATGGAAAGGTAATTTTGTCTATTTTTCAAAACTGTATATAATTTTTGAAAATTAAAAAATTCGCGGAATACTTTTTTAAAAAAAATTAAAAAATGTTTTTTATTCAGTTTTTGCGAAGATACAAATTTTTCAAATTGCAATAAAAATTTTATTTATGAATATTTTTTGATGAAATTTTACAGTTAGGTAGATTTTTTTACTCAAAATCCAAAATTAAATAAAAATTTCGAATTTTCTTATTAGAAATCCCGGAATTCCCAAAAAAGTTTTAAAAAATCCCAAAAATGGGATTTTTTGGTTTTTTGCCTATTATATCCATACCAGGGGCGGGGTTATCGAAACCCGTTACAAAATGATTAAGAACATATTGGGTCATATAAAACAGGTCACTATAATTTGATATCGACTATGCGATTTGAGAATTTATGCTCAAAATTGAATTTTCTATAAAAAAATAGGGTTTTTTGGATGGACCTGGTCCCCTCGGTATCAAAAATTTTTAGGTTTTGTTTCATTTATCGTATTTTATGTAAAGTCAGCTTTTCAAAAAGTATAAATTCTATATACATCTTCTTAGAAACTTTTTAGATAACTTAAAAAGAAAAAGATACTTTTTTCCCAAAAAAATGGCAAAAAATCACCTTTTTTTAATTTTTTAAATTAAAATGCCTATAACTTTGGACTCAGTCATGATTTTTACATAATTCTTTCACTGCTTGATATATAAACTTGTTGTTAAGCGAATAAAAAAAGAAATGGCGAAAATAGGGAATATTTGGACCCGCTATTATCAAAAAACTAAAGTAAGAACGGTAAAAATTTTAAAATTTTAATTTTCAAATGCGAATATCTCCTAAACTATAAGAGATAATTTACTGCTATGACGACATTTTTTATAGTGCTCGATGAGGAGATTCTATATACGAAATTTTTTTTAAATCGGAACTCAAATGAAGAAATAGGATCGTTTTAAAAATTTAACATAGCCGAGGTGTCCTAATTTGAGGACCCCCCGCCGGGCCCCTGGTTGGCCTATAAGGTCCAAATTCAAAACCTAAACTCGACAACACCTCCTCTTTGTGCATACCAAATTTCATTAAAATCGGATTAACCGTTTAGAAGTTACCGAATTATTTCCCTCTTTTTTTTTTCCTATACCACTGTGCAACGTTGTTTATTACATATTTTTTAAAAAGCTATATTTTAACAACAAATTCATGTTGTTTATTAAATTAAGCTTTTTATGTTCCAACTTAATTCATATTAAAATTAGTCAGTTAATTAAGGGCTTAATTATATTATATTAGTCTTATAATAAAGATTTAATAGCCTTCTAAGATTATAAAAAATTAACTAAAATTTTTTATACGCTACACCACTATAGTGGGCAGGGTATTATGCGTTTGTGCTGATGTTTGTAACGCATTAAAATATTAGTACTATACCCACCTTAAAGTCAGATCGACTCAGAATCACTTCCTGAGTCGATTTAACGATGTCGTCTGTCCGTCCGTCCGTCTGTCTGTCTGTCTGTCTGTCTGTCTGTCCATCCATCTGTCCGTCCATCTGTCCGTCCGTCTGTCCGTCCGACCGGATCAAATTTCATAACTGGTGTAGGTTATCATATAGTCGGCCAAGCCCGACTATACTTTCTTACTTGTTTTTCTTATAATTTGTTTTTTATTTCATGTTAGAAACCACAGTAATAATAAGGCTTCTAATGAAACAGAATTTTTTTTTTTTTGTTTTCTCCACTTAACACCTTTTTAAATATAATTTATAAAATTTTCGTGTTAAAAGGAAACAGCGCTCATAAAGTACGAAACAAGAGAATATTATATTACATTGGTCATAATCATTATAAATAAATAAGTATTTAGAAAACACAAACAAACATTTTGTGTTTTTGCTGAAATTCAAAAGGATCATAAAAAGGATACATGTTAAACAAAACAATAAATAAACACAAACTTTCACTTTAAGATTTACAAGCATTAGTCGATTATTTTACGCAATGAGTATGATATTTTGTTAATTAATAGGGGTATTCAGAGGTGACAGCAATTCTCAATAAAATTGATCAAATATAGAATTATTTTCTGTTCATGTGAAATGTTTGCTGTTCAAAATGAGCCAAATTACTCTCGAATTGTTGTCAAGCAAGAAAAGTGTAAAACAAACTATCCCTCCGTTTAAAAACTTAATATTTATAACACTTTTACTTCTTAACTTTCATTTCCTATTCCAATGACAAACTCAAGTCTCTCTAAGCTAAAACATGCAACAAATAAATTTAATTTTTTTCTTCAATTTCAACAAACACCATCTTAGTTAATTGTTGCTGCAATTGCCAGTAACGTATGTACGTGCAACATTTAGCGATTGATTTATAACCAAAGAGACATTAAATGATTACGACACTTTTATAGATTAAAGTAGTAAATTGTCAATTATTTATTATCCTCAGGGATACTATGAACTGCCCTATTACTAGTACTTAAAGTAAATACGCACACAAGTACAAACAAATAGCTTAAAGTTGTTAACAAATACAATAACGCATGTATTAACAATAGGAACATTAGTGACTGTGTAAAAATAAATACAAATATAATGATGATGATTTGTGTAGTATATATATGTGTGTGTGTTTTTTTTTTTGCGTCTATAAATGTATAAAATTTTCTGTTGTGTAACCATGGTCATTAATCGTAACAACATATGTTACTTGTACAAGAAAAAAATTAATACATTTTCACATATATGCTAGACTTATACATCTGTACAAAACGGCAACCTCAAACGTTCTTCTAAAATTTTGACCAAGATCCTGCTAATAGTTATAGTTTTTCAATCACAAAGAAATGTCTGGGCTATTGACCACTCCATGAGTTATAGACAGTTCTATGAACAAGTCTATAGACAATTCTATGAACTAGTCTATAGACTCTTCTATTCTATGGAGTAGATCATGGTTTATTGGGTCGTCTATGAACTTGACTGGACTACTGACTAGTCCATGGACTAGACAACTCACTAGTCTATGAACTAGACTACTGACTACTCTATGATCTGGTCAATAAACTATGAACTTATATAGTGACTAAACTATTTAACCAGTAATCCATGGCTTAGTCTATTCATTAATCTATGGACCAGTCTAGTCTATTGACAAGTCTGTGAAATGTCTTCTAGACAAGTTTATTAGTTTGCTGGCTTGTCTATTGCATGATCGGATAATGTTAATCCCTGTTTTATTGACTTTAATTAATTAAGCTTTAAACCCAAAAAAGTAACCATAAGAAAATAAAACGACCCTAATATTTAAACATACATATTGCTATGATTAAGTATGTATCCATGTCTAAATGTGTATCCGGCTGTATTTAACAACACTCATTTGGCACATTAAGAAGCTTTTTTAATTACATCTTTGAACAGAAACTTAAAAAAAATGAACGAAAAAATGTTGGTCTTTCATGTTTTACTATTGTTAATTTTTTCCCCAACAAAATAATGTCATTTCTCACTTTACATATTATAACATCAAATCAAAATTAAAATTTAATCAAGAATTTGGTTTACCCAATCTACAACAATGTATCCAATAATAACACAATTTCTTTTGTCTTTTCTTTTCACACAGATTGGATGGCAAACACTTACCTCTGCCGCCCTCCATGAATGGCACACAATGGGGACAGGCAACAATGGCCAGAAATTTAGAACGTAACTGTCCTTCAAATCGTCCATGTTCGAATATAATCTGTCCGGATCCATTTGATTGTGTTGATTTGTGGAATGAATATGAATGCACGTAAGTATTGAAAAAAATTGTCAATAGCAAAAGAACTAAATGCATAAACATACATTTGAAAAACATTTGAAAATCTGCATAGAAAATAAAAATAACAATAAAGAAAAGAGCAAAATAAAATTTTAAAGGAAAAATTGTAAAAATATTTTAATATAGGCAGCACTTGTCGTGCATGTAGCTAATAACAACACACGTTTTGAAACAACATACTAGAATATTTAAATTAAAAATATACGGAAAAGAAATAGGAAAAGAAATTACAAAATCCTAGATAATATTGATATATGCGAGGGTCAGTAATGACAAAAACTAGAATTAAACTAGAATTGAAGTAAAACATAAACATAAATAAAACTTAAGAAGAAATGAACTGACTAGAATTAGAACTGAATTAGAATGAACTAAAACTGAACTAGAAGCTGAACTAGAAACTGAACTAGAATGAACTAGAACTGAACTAGAACTGAACTAGAACTGAACTAGAACTGAACTAGAACTGAACTGAATAGAACTGAACTAGAACTGAACTAGAACTGAACTAGAACTGAACTAGAACTGAACTGAACTGAACTAGAACTGAACTAGAACTGAACTAGAACTGAACTAGAACTGAACTAGAACTGAACTAGAACTGAACTAGAACTGAACTAGAACTGAACTAGAACTGAACTAGAACTGAACTAGAACTGAACTAGAACTGAACTAGAACTGAACTAGAACTGAACTAGAACTGAACTAGAACTGAACTAGAACTGAACTAGAATGAACTAGAACTGAACTAGAACTGAACTAGAACTGAACTAGAACTGAACTAGAACTGAACTAGAACTGAACTAGAACGAACTAGAACTGAACAGAACTGAACTAGAACTGAACTAGAACTGAACTAGAACTGAACTAGAACTAGAACTAGAACTGAACTAGAACTGAACTAGAACTGAACTAGAACTGAAGAACTGAACTAGAACTGAACTAGAACTGAAATGAACTGAACTAGAACTGAACTAGAACTGAACTAGAACTGAACTAGAACTGAACTAGAACTGAACTAGAACGGAACTAGAACTGAACTAGAACTGAACTAGAACTGAACTAGAACTGAACTAGAACTGAACTAGAACTGAACTAGAACTGAACTAGAACTGAACTAGAACTGAACTAGAACTGAACTAGAACTGAACTAGAACTGAACTAGAACTGAACTAGAACTGAACTAGAACTGAACTAGAACTGAACTAGAACTGAACTAGAACTGAACTAGAACTGAACTAGAACTGAACTAGAACTGAACTAGAACTGAACTAGAACTGAACTAGAACTGAACTAGAACTGAACTAGAACTGAACTAGAACTGAACTAGAACTGAACTAGAACTGAACTAGAACTGAACTAGAACTGAACTAGAACTGAACTAGAACTGAACTAGAACTGAACTAGAACTGACTAGAACTGAACTAGAACTGAACTAGAACTGAACTAGAACTGAACTAGAAACTAGAACTGAACTAGAACTGAACTAGAACTGAACTAGAATTGAACTAGAACTGAACTAGAACTGAACTAGAACTGAACTAGAATTGAACTAGAACTGAACTAGAACTGAACTAGAACTGAACTAGAACTGAACTAGAACTGAACTAGAACTGAACTAGAACTGAACTAGAACTGAACTAGAAACTGAACTAGAACTGAAGTAGAATTGAACTAGAACTGAACTAGAACTGAACTAGAACTGAACTAGAACTGAACTAGAACTGAACTAGAACTGAACTAGAACTGAACTAGAACTGAACTAGAACTGAACTAGAACTGAACTAGAACTGAACTAGAACTGAACTAGAACTGAACTAGAACTGAACTAGAACTGAACTAGAACTGAACTAGAACTGAACTAGAACTGAACTAGAACTGAACTAGAACTGAACTAGAACTGAACTAGAACTGAACTAGAACTGAACTAGAACTGAACTAGAACTGAACTAGAACTGAACTAGAACTGAACTAGAACTGAACTAGAACTGAACTAGAACTGAACTAGAACTGAACTAGAACTGAACTAGAACTGAACTAGAACTGAACTAGAACTGAACTAGAACTGAACTAGAACTGAACTAGAAAACTAGAACTAGAACTGAACTGAACTAGAACTGAACTAGAACTGAACTAGAACTGAACTAGAACTGAACTAGAACTGAACTAGAACTGAACTAGAACTGAACTAGAACTGAACTAGAACTGAACTAGAACTGAACTAGAACTAACTAGAACTGAACTAGAACTGAACTAGAACTGAACTAGAACTGAACTAGAACTGAACTAACTGAACTAGAACTGAACTAGAACTGAACTAGAACTGAACTGAACTAGAACTGAACTAGAACTGAACTAGAACTGAACTAGAACTGAACTAGAACTGAACTAGAACTGAACTAGAACTGAACTAGAACTGAACTAGAACTGAACTAGAACTGAACTAGAACTGACTAGAACTGAACTAGAACTGAACTAGAACTGAACTAGAACTGAACTAGAAACTGAACTAGAACTGAACTAGAACTGAACTAGAACCTGAACTAGAACTGAACTAGAACTGAACTAGAACTGAACTAGAACTGAACTAGAACTGAACTAGAAACTGAACTAGAACTGAACTAGAACTGAACTAGAACTGAACTAGAACTGAACTAGAACTGAACTAGAACTGAACTAGAATTGAACTAGAACTGAACTAGAACTGAACTAGAACTGAACTAGAATGAACTAGAACTGAACTAGAACTGAACTAGAACGAACTAGAACTGAACTAGAACTGAACTAGAACTGAACTAGAACTGAACTAGAACTGAACTAGAACTGAAGTAGAATTGAACTAGAACTGAACTAGAACTAAATACCTAATTTCCTTGTTAGCCTCATATATGAAGATGTGAATTGTTATTTACCACAACGCTTCAGTTGATTTGAAATATCTACATGCTGTAAAGTTTCTAATTTAATTTTCATTCTGTTATCGTATTGTGTTCAAAAAATATTGCAGTTATTAAGGGTAAATATCTGCAATTGGTTTCATTTTATCGAAACCAATGGAAATAAAAGAACTCTAATTGAGTTTCGGTAGCAAACTTATTGTTATGAAAATTTAAGACATCATATAATTAATTTTTATTAAATTATTCATTATATTTGCTTAATATAATTTATCACTTGAAAGCTATATTATCGATACTATAAATAATTAATAATATACATATTAAATTTAACCAGTAAATTGATTAAACCGCAATATTATAAATTGTGATTTAGAAATGGGATATACAAACTAAACCTTTACAAGAGGCCTCATTATAACCAAAATATCTACTTCAAAAGCTTATATTGAAACTTGTAACCAAATGTAAAAGATTACAATAAAGGGTTGCATTATTGGTTTTGACTGATGGTTAGACGATGATGATTAAAACCAAAGCTAAGATAGTCACAATAACACACAGAGCAAGACATATTACAGATGCTAAGTTATATGCATTCTGCAAGCTCATGTTATCCAAAATTTACTGTAGGTGGTAAAATTCATAGATTTACAAACAAATTGCAAAAGCAACATACAAAATGCATAAGTTATATATTTTACAGAAAATTCATTAAGGCGTTTGTTATTGTAAAACAAAATTTACATACACACATAATGGTGTCCTAAAATATCGATTTAGCTCTTTATTAATGTGTATAACTTACTAACTGTACCTAATTTAACAATTTTCAATCGATTTCCGCAAGGGTTACCACATTAGATTTGACTAAAATTTTACACAAGTAATGTTTCGACATTAATAAAAAAAATAACATTTATTGCACATTGAAAGAACCGCTGTTGAAGTAATACGTACATAATATCAAATAGTTTTTGATCTATATATTTCTTTATGTGGAATAGGTTCAAATGAAGTCCGATCATTTCGAAATTGGGCAAGGTCATCAAGGCTTGTATTAAACTTTGTTGTGCGAACTTTCATCGAGATACATTTATATTATACATAATTATTAGCTCAAAAGCCCTTTTCGAGGGTTTAGTTGTATGGGGGCTAGGTTAAATAATGGACCGATTTTAATCATTTTCAATAGGCTTTGTCCCTGGGCCAAAATTTCAAATTTCAGAAAGTGATTCTGAGTCTTTATACTTTAAGGTGGGTATAGTACTAATATTTTATTGCGCTACAAACATCAGCACAAACGCGTAATACCCTTCCCACTATAGTGGTGTAGGGTATAAATATTTCAACATATTTCGAATACAGAAATCAAAACAGGCTGTACACAACTTAAACATTTATAAATTTTATAAAAATTTGGGTAAATTTCAATGGTAAGAGATAAATACCAAATACTTATGAAATTTATACCTACCTAAACTACTATTTTCATTTCTTTGCAAGCAAATATAAACTTCTGTGCTATTTCAGTTCTATATACCTACCTAAACTACTATTTTCATTTCTTTGCAAGCAAATGTAAACTTCTGTGCTATTTCAGTTCTAGTTCAGTTCTAGTTAGTTCTAGTTTAGTTCTAGTTCAGTTCTAGTTCAGTTCTAGTTCAGTTCTGTTCAGTTCTAGTTCAGTTTAGTTCAGTTCTAGTTCAGTTCTAGTTCAGTTCTAGTTCAGTTCTAGTTCAGTTCTAGTTCAGTTCTAGTTCAGTTCTAGTTCAGTTCTAGTTCAGTTCTAGTTCAGTTCTAGTTCAGTTCTAGTTCAGTTCTAGTTCAGTTCTAGTTCAGTTCTAGTTCAGTTCTAGTTCAGTTCTAGTTCAGTTCTAGTTCAGTTCTAGTTCAGTTCTAGTTCAGTTCTAGTTCAGTTCTAGTTCAGTTCTAGTTCAGTTCTAGTTCAGTTCTAGTTCAGTTCTAGTTCAGTTCTAGTTCAGTTCTAGTTCAGTTCTAGTTCAGTTCTAGTTCAGTTCTAGTTCAGTTCTAGTTCAGTTCTAGTTCAGTTCTAGTTCAGTTCTAGTTCAGTTCTAGTTCAGTTTAGTTCAGTTCTAGTTCAGTTCTAGTTCAGTTCTAGTTCAGTTCTAGTTCAGTTCTAGTTCAGTTCTAGTTCAGTTCTAGTTCAGTTCTGTTAGTTCTAGTTCAGTTCTAGTTCAGTTCTAGTTCAGTTCTAGTTCAGTTCTAGTTCAGTTCTAGTTCAGTTCTAGTTCAGTTCTAGTTCAGTTCTAGTTCCAGTTCTAGTTCAGTTCTAGTTTCAGTTCTAGTTCAGTTCTAGTTCAGTTCTAGTTCAGTTCTAGTTCAGTTTCTAGTTCAGTTCTAGTTCAGTTCTAGTTCAGTTCTAGTTCAGTTCTAGTTCAGTTCTAGTTCAGTTCTAGTTCAGTTCTAGTTCAGTTCTAGTTCAGTCTAGTTCAGTTCTAGTTAGTTCTAGTTCAGTTCTAGTTCAGTTCTAGTTTCAGTTCTAGTTCAGTTCTAGTTCAGTTCTAGGTTCAGTTCTAGTTCAGTTCTAGTTCAGTTCTAGTTCAGTTCTAGTTCAGTTCTAGTTCAGTTCTAGTTCAGTTCTAGTTCAGTTCTAGTTCAGTTTCTAGTTCAGTTCTAGTTCAGTTCTAGTTCAGTTCTAGTTCAGTTCTAGTTCATTCTAGTTCAGTTCTAGTTCAGTTCTAGTTCAGTTCTAGTTCAGTTCTAGTTCAGTTCTAGTTCAGTTCTAGTTCAGTTCTAGTTCAGTTCTAGTTCAGTTCTAGTTCAGTTCTAGTTCAGTTCTAGTTCAGTTCTAGTTCAGTTCTAGTTCATTCTAGTTCAGTTCTAGTTCAGTTCTAGTTCAGTTCTAGTTCAGTTCTAGTTCAGTTCTAGTTCAGTTCTAGTTCAGTTCTAGTTCAGTTCTAGTTCAGTTCTAGTTCAGTTCTAGTTCAGTTCTAGTTCAGTTCTAGTTCAGTTCTAGTTCAGTTCTAGTTCAGTTCTAGTTCAGTTCTAGTTCAGTTCTAGTTCAGTTCTAGTTCTAGTTCGTTCTAGTTCAGTTCTAGTTCAGTTCTAGTTCAGTTCTAGTTCTAGTTCAGTTCTAGTTCAGTTCTAGTTCAGTTCTAGTTCAGTTCTAGTTCAGTTCTAGTTCAGTTCTAGTTCAGTTCAGTTTAGTTCTTCTAGTTCAGTTCAGTTCAGTTCTAGTTCAGTTCTAGTTCAGTTATAGTTCAGTTTAGTTTAATATTAGTTGAACTTTTTCGGTTTTTAGGTTGAAAAACAACATTGAAAAAACGGTTTTAAAAGTGCAATTTGACATGCAAAATTCGAACGGCTTTCATTTCCGTTCTAATATGTATCTGGAATGTGGATCGTTTAAGATCAAATAATGCTTTTCGCTTTCATTAGTTAATAAAAAAAGTAAAAATTTCCATTTCCAAATTTCCATTTCGTTTATACAAATAAATTATTTGTTTTACGAAATGGCCATATAATTTATTTATAAATATATGTGTACATATTTTCTCATGCTCAACATCTCATGATTATGATTATTATTTTCTCTTGACATGCTGTTATTTATTTGTATAAAAATAAATAAATAAATGATTATAAATAATTTCTACTTCTGCTTCATTGTACATAAAATATGGATGTATGTCTGCATGACTGTTTGCAACAGCAGTACAAGTCGTAATATGCTGCAGAGTACGAGTACTAAGCTCTTGTCTACCCTGACATTTGTTGCACTTGGCATAACTAATGATGTGGAAAATGCTTTTGCTTGTTTTTAGCTCTTTTTTCATTTTTTTATAGCTGCCATGGCAATAATAATGCACTGATGTGTTAAAGGCTTTGAAACAAAGATACTTGTGCAGTGGTATTTGAACTCCTTGCATTAGATTCTAGTGTGAAACATAAAACAGCTGCTTTTTAATGCTCATCTATAATGTTTGTAATTCTTTGTTGTAAAGATGTGGGCTATTTTTCAATTGCAGGGTATTTATAGGATGTCAAAGGAACTGGCCTAATAATAAAAGTAAAAAACTAGGAATATTTTATAATTACGACAACACTATTAGTTTATTACTATTTCTGTAGTTACAAAGATTTCTAAATCTAAATTTGCCATTTGAATTGCAAATTAAATTAGAAAAGTTTATAACGTAAAACACAATCAAAAATAACATTAATTTTCCCGCTTAGTGCAAGAGCAAACCTTTGTCAATAACCCCATAACAATACAACGTACATGAAAAATTCCCAGAGAGCTGTGCGCCCAAATAGTTGGTGTACATTTGAACAGAATAGGACGTTAAGTAGCAATAAGAATAATTGCTCAAATTAAGCCCTTCTTTGTTTATAGCAGTATATCAAATTATTGTTTATAACTTGTAAGAGCAAACTCATAATAAATTGCTACTAATAAAACAACAAATTTCACAATTTATATTTATGCAATCTAGCATAAAATTATATGTAAACTACAAACAAAACTGACTCTAGAGCAGTTCTCTTTAAAGGCAAGGAAATTATTTTAACCTGATGCATTACACTTATTTCTAAAAACTTTTGCAATTTCTTGCACAAATACTAAAACATTTATTTATGTACATTGCTCATACACCCACAAATCTAGACATGGACAAATTGTTATTAATATTTTATAAATTTATTTTAAAGTTTATATTTTTCTTCATCCTTATCAACATCATAGTGTATCTTATAAACATAAGTCTTTGCTTTTATTAATAATTCCCTTTCATTTCTTTTTTTCATTTCACTTTACAGCTGCAGTGAAGGTCGTGTCATGTCTGCCGATACAAAGGGATGTGTAGATCGTAATGAGTGTCTGGATATGCCATGTCTTAATGGTGCCACTTGTATAAATCTAGAGCCACGTTTACGTTATCGTTGCATATGTCCCGAAGGTTATTGGGGTGAAAATTGTGAATTGGTGCAGGAGGGTCAAAGACTAAAGTTGAGCATGGGTGCATTGGGTGCCATCTTTGTGTGTCTTATTATTATTTTAAGTAAGTAGAAAAATGACAGCAAAAATGTGCGTATTTTATATTTACTTCAAAGAATACAATATTTATTAGTGTTATTTATATTTTTATGAAAACACTTTATAATTTAATAGGGGTGAATACAATGTTAATAAAATGAGTAGATAATTGAAAATGAAAATAAATGAACTTTTCAAGGGAATTTAAAAACAGCCATACTGTAAAGCAATTTATATTATTTGAACTAGAACTGAACTAGAACTGAACTAGAACTGAACTAGAACTGAACTAGAACTGAACTAGAACTGAACTAGAACTGAACTAGACTGAACTAGAACTGAACTAGAACTGAACTAGAACTGAACTAGAACTGAACTAGAACTGAACTAGAACTGAACTAGAACTGAACTAGAACTGAACTAGAACTGAACTAGAACTGAACTAGAACTGAACTAGACTGAACTAGAACTGAACTAGAACTGAACTAGAACTGAACTAGAACTGAACTAGAACTGAACTAGAACTGAACTAGAACTGAACTAGAACTGAACTAGAACTGAACTAGAACTGAACTAGAACTGAACTAGAACTGAACTAGAACTGAACTAGAACTGAACTAGAACTGAACTAGAACTGAACTAGAACTGAACTAGAACTGAACTAGAACTGAACTAGAACTGAACTAGAACTGAACTGAACTATAACTGAACTAGAACTGAACTAGAACTGAACTAGAACTGAACTAGAACTGAACTAGAACTGAACTAGAACTGAACTAGAACTGAACTAGAACTGAACTAGAATGAACTAGAACTGAACTAGAACTGAACTAGAACTGAACTAGAACTGAACTAGACTGAACTAGAACTGAACTAGAACTGAACTAACTGAACTAAACTGAGAACTGAACTAGAACTGAACTAGAACTGAACTAGAACTGAACTAGAACTGAACTAGAACTGAACTAGAACTGAACTAGAACTGAACTAGAACTGAACTAGAACTGAACTAGAACTGAACTAGAACTGAACTAGAACTGAACTAGAACTGAACTAGAACTGACTATAACTGAACTAGAACTGAACTAGAACTGAACTAGAACTGAACTAGAACTGAACTAGAACTGAACTAGAACTGAACTAGAACTGAACTAGACTAGAAATGAACTAGAACTGAACTAGACACTGAACTAGAACTGAAACTAGAACTGAACTAGAACTGAAACTAGAACTTGAACTAGAACTGAACTAGACTGAACTAGAACTGAACTAGAACTGAACTAGAAGCTGCAACTAGAAACTGAACTAGAACTGAACTAGAACTGAACTAGAACTGAACTAGAACTGAACTAGAACTGAACTAGAAACTGAAACTAAGAACTGAACTAGAACTGAACTAGAACTGAACTAGAACTGAAACTAGAACTGAACTAGAACTGAACTAGAACTGAACTAAGAACTGAACTAGAACTGAACTAGAACTGAACTAGAACTGAACTAGAACTGAACTAGACTGAACTAGAACTGAACTACTGAACTGAACTAGAACTGACAGAACTAGAACTAGACTGAACTAAACTGACCTAGAAATGAACTAGAAACTGTACTACTAGAACTGAACTAGAAACTGAACAGAACTGAACTACAACCCAGAACCAAACTATAATTAAATATGTTAACCATGGGACATCGTTAAATCGACTGTGAACGTGATGGTTTAATTTAATGGGATGTTAGACCTTTATCATTTAAGTGGCTTTGAAAAGTTTTTTGTTTTTTCAACAGAAAAACAAAATCTTTCGGAATAACTTTTAGTTTTATAAACATTTGTTTGCTGCTTTATTCCATCTACATTGAAAATGTGTTCAAAATCCACGTGTTTTTTAACTTTTCTTTTAATGTGTTTTCTAAGAAAAATTATTTTTTGTTATAAATTTTCTTTATTGTTATTATTATTACATATTTCTATTATTTATCTTCTGCGACAAATTTTCTCTCATTAAAAAGTTTGTTTTTTTTTTCGCTTCTGCTCCCTGCTGGATTTCGACACAGTAAAGTGTAGTTTATCTTTTGTGATTCTTAGACCATGTTTTTAATAACTTGAAATTTAACAAGTATAAACATCTTGTTGTCATTTCGTAACTTGCTAAGATTTGTACATTCATAATTTGTTGTGTTGTATTTTATTTTCACTTCTAAATAAAACTTTTCGTTTTTATTCATCTTGGCATTTTCTGTAGATTTTTTTTTAATATTACTGCCAAGCTTAAGTGAAAATGTATTTTTTTAAGTGTATATACAGTTTTTTAATTGTAAGCAGCAACAACAACAGTAGCAACAGCAATAGAAATAGCAATATTAACGGCAGCAGAAGTTTGTTTTTTTTTAGCAAAAGTAATGGCAAAACTTTTAAGAGGTTTTTAAGTAGTTTTGGAACATCTTCAAGATTTAAAGACACATACATACATCATTTTGTTTGGTTTAACACAAACATACATATTTTATATGTTTGTTAGAATAAATACATGTATATTTTTAATTAAATTAAACATACTATAAGAATATAAATTAATATTTTACTTATCTATGTCTGGCCGTCTACATATGTGTTAAATTTAACCGTTATTATTGTATTAAATACATGTTTAATATCAATTAATTTATAGGGGTTTTTATTGAATATCAATATTTGTGTACTATATACTTATTTAATCGGCTTAAATAGTAAAATATTTGGTAATATTCACTTACAAGGTTTGTCTTATTTACACATACCCTTAACCACTGCTTCAATTAAAGCCTCAGCATCAGATATGTCTGTTCAATGCAAAATTTGTTGAGGCTAAATGTCCACTGGACTTCTATTGTTTAACAAACATATTGTTTTTTCTGTTTCAATAAATACACTAAGTACCAGTTAATATTTTATTAACAGATTGAAAAATTCCATTAACTTTAAAACAAAACACAAGCTCATGAAATCCTACAATGTCTATAATCCTATTAGTTATACTAGCAACATATTGTAAAGTGAAAATACTTGTTTATTTAACAACTCAAAAAGAATCTGAACGATCATATCATACCTTACAGCAGCCATGTATATATGAGCTAATGAAATTTAGTTCAATGAATTTTAAAAGATTGGAAATGACAATAGGCAGTTTTTGGTAATATTTCCCCCAAAGTCAACATTTTTTGCATCAATTACTATAGATCTTCTTATCATTTTTGACTCAGTTTCCAATATAAAATAATTTGGGGAACTAACAATTCTAATGTGGGGATTTAACTATTTTGTGCTAATAACAATTGAATCTAAAATCAGAATAATAGAATACGTATTAGAAATGTTGTAAGCTCCTGAAACAAAATATATTATGTTATAGCGTATGAGTGTTGCTACTTTCTAGCAAATAATTAAATATTACGTATACGTCGTGGTAAATACCAAATACATATTTTACGTGAATTTACTGCTTCCATGTGTATATGAGCTAATGAAATTTAGTTCAATGAATTTTAAAAGATTTTAAATGACAATAGGCAGTTTTTGGTAATATTTCCCCCATTGTCAACATTTTTGACATCATTTACTATAGATCTTCTTATCATTTTGGACTCAGTTTCCAGTGTAAAATAATTTGGGAAAATAACAATTCTGTTGTGAGGATATAACTATTTTGTGCTAATAACAAATGAATCTAAAATCGCAATAATAGAATATGTAGTAGAAACGTTTTTAAGCTTTTGAAACAATATATGTTTTGTTATAGCGTATGAGTGTTACTACTTTTTAACAAATAATTAAATATTACGTATACGTCGTGGTAAATACCAAATACATATTTTATTTGAAGAGGATTTATGTTGAAAGACAATGTATATTACATCAGATCCAAAGGCCACTATTGGGCTTTTGTGATCCTCTTTACATGGAAACTTTGGTAAGAAATAGGGTCCTATAAATTGACTTTAAAATAATCCAAGTCGGAAAAAGTCAACAAATCGAAGTCGACTTTTTTTGTCATAACAAGGTTGATAAGAAGACTATTTTGAAGAAAAAGTCGAAGAATCTATTTTACAAATAAAAGCCGAAAAGAGTCGAAAATAGTGGGCAAAATAGAAAAGTTGGAAAAAGTTGAATAAAGTCATTTCACAATATGGAACTTACTCGTTCTAAGGAGGCTTTTGGTCCTGCTCTCATTATGCTAAGCGGTTGTAAGGGATTCTCTCGTATATGTTTCTTCGAATGGTTTTGCATTCGCCAGGATTACTTCCTCTCGTTTTATTACATTCACACTTTCGTTGCCCATTATAGCCGAGTGGCTAAGTGTGGGTATATGATGCAAAGCTTACCTCAGCCTCATGCTATCTTACAGTTCAATACTGGCTTACATGTAAACTTATTGATAATTGCCTTACGGTTTTCGGTTTGGTTTTGCATACGCCAGGATTATTTCCTCTCGTTTACTTTACTTTTAAACGACTACATTCACTCTTTCGTTGCCCATTATTCCCGAGTAGCTAAGTGTGGGTACATGATGCAAAGCTTACCTCAGCCTCATGCTCTATTACAATTCAATACTGGCTTACATGTAAACTGATTGATAATTGCCTTAAACTGGTGCCACATACATTCCAATGCAGGGACTTCTGCCTTTAAACTAGTATTTTGATTTAGTAGACATAGTATATTTTTTTATTATACCCTACACCACTTTAGTGGGGAGGGTATATTGGGTTTGTGCTGATGTTTGTAACGCACAATAATATTGGTCCTATACCCACCTTAAAGTATACCAATCGGCTCAGAATCATTTTCTGAGTCGATTTAGCTATGTCCGTCCGTCTGTCCGTCCGTCTGTCCGTCCGTCTGTCCGTCCGTCTGTCCGTCCGTCCGTCCGTCCGTCCGTCCATGTAAACCTTGTAATCAAACTACAGGTCGCAATTTTGAAGATAATTCAATGAAATTTTGTACATGATCTTCTATTGTCCCAGGGACGAAGCCTATTGAAAATGGTT